TCTGAGCTATAGAATCAAATAATCGAAACTAAAATAATCGTGATTGGGGGCCGGGGGGGGGGGGGGGGTTACGACACGACCCAGCGTCCCCCACCAATCTGCGCCCATGGTTGGCACCGTGCTTCTGAACGACAAACTTTACACCTAAATTGCATACGTAGGACATAATGCATGCCGTACAGCGTCAGTTGGTGAAATCGAAAATTCTGAGAGAGACCCTAAAACTTTTTAAAAACTTTTTAAAAGCTGTTCTCTGCGTGTGGGTGTGTGTGTGGGTAGGCATGTTTTATGGCACACTGCGGTATTTTCGTAGGCCCACGAATTTTTCGTAGGCCCCCGAATTTTTCGTAGGCCTTAGGCACAGTGCCTGCTGTGCCTATTGGATAATCCGGGCCTGATTAGCGGCCGGGGAGGGGGATGCTTAGAGGCACGGTCAGTGAATCAGCGGCGTGAGTTGTGAGATGGTTTCAAATGCTGACCATAATCCTTCAGGTGCTGACCATAATGTCATGTCCTTGGGCAAGTCACTTCACCCCCATTTGCCTCTCCACCCAGGTGTTGACAGAATTAACAGAAGTATTTTGTGATGGACTGGCATCTCATTCAGGGAAGATTGGAAATACTCGGTCAGTTTCATGACACGAAAGCCAGGGACAGAAGCAATGGTTTCTCATCACTGTTTCCTCAAAAGTGTCATATTCACTGAGCTGAAACTTCAGCAGCTTAGGTTTTGAACATTCTTCTTTGGATTGTGTGTGGTGTTATGATTGGAATCAAACAAACTGCATGAAATTTAAATTATCATATATGCCTTTAAATAATTGGCAATGCGTGTGTTTTCCATACCGTTGAATTATACATTGAAAATTGTTAAAGGAGTAATCTCATTTTGCATCGATACTCAATGTTGCTGAGTATATGGTGATTTTCATGTGTTTGCATCCCAACGCATCTCTTCCGAGAAAAAGCATAAAGCTGGGTATGTTTTTCAATATTCCAAATGACCGTCATACATCACATCAAATTTTGTTAAAATAGTATCGATTAGTTCCAATCGACCGAAATAAACCGATATAACAGGCCTGAGTAAACTCCTAACGCAGACATACACTATGATAAATTGTCATTCATGTTGGGAAATCAATACAAATCGATACTAACAAGAATGACTTGACGTGCGATCGATAGGTCTTTCATTTACTTCCAACATTTGTTTGTGAATAAAACGAAATTAATTTCTCAAACTGACATCAGTCGATATTTTTGTTTGATAGTATTGTAATTAAATTCTCGTACCACGTCATCATAAAGAACTGTTCTTTCACGTTTGTGTTGTCTATTCGAGATAGGAGCTCTGTTTCCGGATGAAAGTTTAACTGAAAGAAAACTGAAATATTCAAAAATCTTCTGTGTTTGTTAAAAAAAAAACCGATATTATTCCAAAAGTATCCCGTTTCTTTTTTTTTTCAATTTCAAAAATGTATTACTAATAATTTTCCAAGCACGCTGCTCCGTTGAAACGGTATAGTGTTCGTTTCCGTTTGTAGAACCCTCCTTTACAGGTATAATGGACAAAAACAACAGATTCAACATCATGCCTCGGGAGATATGACGCATTAGCTCGCAAAAAATATGCCACTTAGTGCCAAATGACAAAATAAGGAATATTCTTTCCGGTGCAACGGCACAACTCGACACGCTGCATGAGAGGCAGCTCGGAGCACATTTCAAGGCAAGTGCTTATCCTATAGAAATTGCCGGATGCGCTCCGTTGTGTTTGGTTTTGACCCCACCGTATCCAATGCATCTCCATTGTAATAGAGGGAAAATTGTCTCAGATTTTCTCGAGGGGGCGGGGTGGGGGGGGGGGTTCTTTTTGGAGTAACCAGGGATACATACTTCGAGAGCAAACTTAGCTTATTGCTCCGAAACTGAAGTGTTTGTTTCCCCGGCAGAGTCAACATTCTGTAATTACATCGCGCCGGCCATAATTCACCTGTTTCTACACAAGAAGGAAGAGACTCGCAATTATAGAGGCCCGTTGGGCTGGGCCTAACAAATTGCGATGAAATAACAAAAGTGAAAAATATAACTTGGACGCACTCTGTTCCTTCGGCAGCAAACAACTAACATTTGTACATTAAAAAAAAAGAGAGCATGAAATTGGAGCAAACCTTTGATTGCAATAATTGCTGCCTGGTGATGGAATCTTTCCGTCCTAGATATTGCAGTACGTGTGGCGTCATTCTGCTGGGTATATGTTTTTCAACGTCTAGTCTGTGTAAAAAAAATTACTGTCTCTGGATTCTGAAATTAATGATGATTTTTTTTTCCTCCAAAACTTCTTTCGGCTATAACGTATACTGAAGAGAGGATACTAAGTGCATTTTTAAATTAGATCGAAGCTGAGGCCTATATAATAAGTGATATGCCATTTGTAGGACACTGAGTGACATTTCCCTTTGTGTTAGTCTTGTTTATGTCAGCTGGAGGCCCACGATTTCAGTGGGAATACATTTTAAAGTTCGTCCATTGGCCCTGAAATTCTGTAAAGGGAAAAATATGACGAAATGATATCCGTAACACTTACGTTTTGAGACTGCTACAATATACTTTTGTGCAGTTGCACATTGAGTCGATCACAGCGAAGGGCATTCCCTCTTTTTTTCGTATGCGATTAACGGTAAAACCAATTGTCCGATATTTTCGAGTCGGCTAACTTGAATCAAAAGCGTGGCAAAATGTTTAGAAACTGAGGATGAGTACAAGAATTAAGATGATAAAGTTGATGAAAGGTAGGCCTATGTATTAGCCTCATTGTATTCAGATGAATAGGGAAAAAGTCAAGTCACGTTTCTTGCGCGGCCCTTAATATTTATGAAGCCTGGCGAACCTTGCAATCATATACAACAACAAAAGTCTGGCACCTTTCAATTTAAGAGTGTACCACAAATGAATTGGAATCGGGAGCGCGATCTTGCGAATGAGTCCCATTGGGGTCGGTTTGAACTCCTGCCCCGCACTTGAGACGTTCCGGCCAATACGATCACAAGTGGGGGTCGACCGTTTCCACAGAATCAAACCCCGCTCGTGATTAAATAAATGGCGCCAGCTCCATTTCACTTCAAAAAGAGACAGAGATTTCACCGCCTCACTAAAACGTGACGAATGAGTTAAAAAGACACGTGTTCGCCGGTGGACAGTATAATTACATTTCCGACGTCACTTTTTCTCTCAACGTAAATGATGATGAATGTTATTTGCTAGCATGCATGATTTAAAAAAGTCTATATGGAGAATTAAGGGGAACTTGAAAACGGCAGTATGGTTACGGAACCTTTTACACAAATCTAATCTGAAATCCAAATATTAACTTTGCGAGTTGATTAATGAGTTGAATATCCTATTAAAACTGACAGGATACAGTTGGTATAAATGTTACATTATTGACTATAAACATTTGTATTGCACTCTTTTTTTCTTTCCGAGGCCAGGAAATAAAATCAGTGGTCCATGTTCGTATGTTACGCCACATTTCTCACTTAAGGGTACACATCTTGGCACGCGCATACAAAACAAATTTGTCAGTTTGAATAAAGATGATCCGTCTTGTTAGTCAATTTCGGAAATTAAAGGAACATTACGGACTGGAATGCTCCCAGTTGGCTACAAAACGCGTTTTAAACGAAATTGTGTTAAATAGAAAGAAAACTTTAAAAATAGAATATAAACTTCCACACAACCATCCTTAAAAAAATGGGCGTTTGTTGTGTTATTCTTGCGAGAACCATGCAAGAACGAATTTCGGGGGTCACAATTTTGTCCCCGAAAAATCAAGCTGTGATCCTACCGCACGTGTGGTTCCCACTCTGCGGACATATAAGAAACAACATCATTTATCTGTAATATTATTAGTGTACCCCCACCCATTCTGGAATTTGTATTCCTGTGGAGACATTTCTTTGTTCTCGTGTACTGAAGTTTTCGTGTTTGAAATTAAAGTTTCAAAATGCTCTTATTTTAACCAGAATTAATTTCCTGGGCTGAAATTTGGACTAAATATCCCTTTTCTAAAACCCTTCCATTTGCGACAAATCAACCTACCTTGGAAATTCCTAGTTTTTGAGTAAAATCCATATATCTATTTCGTGAAATTCTTGTGGAGCGTATTCATCTATAGAAATGTTCTTGCGGAGACGTATACAATCTTTTGTTTCCTATTGTGTGCATGTCTCCTTAAGGTAGTAAATTCCAGCACCCCCCCCCCCCCCCCCCCCACACACACACCACACCACACACACAACATGTACGCTGCATTGAATAGACGTATGGGTATGTCCGCCGCGTTCGATGTGAACAACCGGTGTTTTTTTTCGTCTTTTCTCAGGAACGGTATTAAAGACATAAAGGTTTGTCTCCTTTCAACTAGACCGTTGAAATATGATAAGTAAACCATCCAAAACATGGCATTTTCGGGCGTTTCAGGCCGAATTATGTCCCTTTAATATATTCTCAGGATATAAGAATAGTTGCCAAAATGAATCGAAGATAATTTGTTGTTAATCTAAATGTACGATTTAATAAAGAACAGTACGTGTTTACTTGAAGGGTATTACTTATGAAATGTGCAATAGCCCATCCCCAGCTATCGCAAAACCGCCTGTGATTGACCAAACTGCTAACTATCCCTCCATGTGCATGCTTATTTCTTCATCAGGCTTCGTCAGATGTGGGGTTTTTTTTTTGCGAGCTAAATTACAACCTGACCTCTACTCAACGGGACTTCATTCTTCGAATCTTCTTGCCCCCATCATTTTTTGGGGGGTTCGAAGAACGGAAAACCCTTCACAGAAAGCACCACTTATCATCGAGGCTGTGGAGAAACGGGAGGTTTGGCATCGGGAGGCAGCGATGAGAAGTGGATACCTGATGGACATAATTCGTCCCTGAATTTTCCGCTTTCAGTTTTCACATCACATCATAGGTTACATCATGCCTGATGCGTATCGCAATTCCTGGTAACGCCATGCGGTTCCAGCGCCGGTGATTGGTCGGTGGCGGTCACGTGGCCGCTTGCTGTCACCAGGATGATAGCACACCGTGACGGCGACATACAGCGCATCAGTTGCTGCTTAGTTGAGTGCCCAGACTAGCCATAGAGACAAGCCATACAGCGTACTACAAATCACACTCGTGCGTTGTCCTCGTTCAACGTCATGACGTCGACATATAGCTGACGACGATTTCAGACGACAGGCTCAGTGTTATTTCAACCCCCGGTTTAGCTGGAACGCCGACCGCAGTCAGCAAGCACGTCACTGAAATCAGTCACATCAAACAGTGATTTTGAAGCTTTAAAAGGGGACCGCTTGTGGCACAGAGTCAAAAATAATCAAGGCTTCATGTTTTCGCAGGAAGGATGTTATATCTTTACCCACCGGTCCGTCGCCTAGGGTGACAACCTAACCGGCTTTTTTTGTATCAGGGGCGAGATCTAGTGGGAGGACTTAAACGCCCCAGACACGAGGAGGGGAAGCGACAGAAGATGTAAGGGGAGGAGTTGGCAGATGCGCATTTCCAGAATCGACAAGGCCTCGGAAATCCGAATATACTGACCCCACTTCAACCTTTTATCGCCTGATGCTGGGGCTTGGCGCCATTCTACTTGGAGAAACACCGGCAGGAACACGATCGGCTTATGCGGAGGGAGGATACGAGGATCTTGCCCGTGTCTCCAATTCGACTGTTGGTACTGGTGTGCGGAAATTGAACAGTAACCGGATTTTACTGCGGGAAATCTTCAAGATTGATTTGATTGCCGGCGGCATTCCCGCCAATCCTTCGGTTTAACCATAGAGCTAGGACCCACTGCTGCGAGTTCGGGAGTTCTCGCTCAGGTCAGTTCTCGTGTCATACCAGCTCTTGAAGAGGCCACTCGTTGTTACCGGCTAGCGCATTTGTTCTGCCGACGAGTTGCGATGCAAGAAAGGGGCATCTTCTTTGACTTGCTTGTGAGAGACTGAGCCTGACACTGTTTCTATCCAAGGTAAATTAACCGTTGACCTTTGTACTCGTGCCTCGAAATTTTATCCGGGATTTTGTCCCGTGTGCCTTTTCATTAATACTGCCATCTCTTGTCTTTAACACTGACACAAAACAATCGTGCATAAGGCTCGCAGTGCGATTTGTTTTTTAGCTCCTCGAACGTGTGGATACAAACAGGCAAGAATGTCAATGACAAGTGATGAGATGCCGTTGTTCGTGGGAATAGTTAATATGTCCACTGGAGATGGCAAGAATGAGGGGAACAGCTCCCTGGGTGCTGGGCCCGGGGATGATGAAGACATCGGGGACCCGGTCAGCACTGTCAAGGTCATCATCACGGTCCTCTTCACCTTGGTGTTCCTGGTCGGTGTCTTAGGCAACATCCTGGTGATTGTCGCTGCCACGGGCCGTCTGAGGGGACTCCAGAAATCCATGAGTGTCTTCATTCTGAACCTCAGCGTGGCCGACTTGTTGTATCTCCTCATCTGCTTGCCCTTCCAAGCCACCATCATCACCCTCCCGTCCTGGATCTTCGGCGGCTTCATGTGTAAGATAGTACAGTTCCTGACTTACGTCTCCATGTGCGCCAGCATCTTCACCCTCGTGGCCATGTCCATGGACCGCTACTTCGCCGTGGCCTACCCGCTCAAATTCTTCGGCGTGCGCACCTTGAAAAACTCCATCTCCATCATCGTTTTGATCTGGGTCCTAGCTGTCGGTTGCTCGGCGCCCTTCCTCCACGTGTTCCTGATCCACACGATCGAGGACGGAGACGGCGTGGTCTTGTCTTACTGCGTGGAGTGGGGATGGAATAACCGCACCCAGAGGAAGCGGTACTACGCCTTTCTGTTCGCAGCCTGTTACATGGTGCCTCTGCTGCTGATGATCCTGTCCTACGTGCTCATCCTGCGGACACTGTGGCGCACTTTCAAGCCCAACAGTGAGGACACCGACTCCTCGTCCAACAAAGCCAAGAAGAAAGTCACCATGATCGTCAGCGTGGTGGTTCTGGCCTTCGGTATTTGCTGGCTGCCCCACCACGTCATGTACATGTGGATCAACTTTGGCAAGTTCCCCCTGACGGACGGGACGCTGGCCCTGAAGATGATGGCGGTGACGCTGTCTAGCCTCAACTCGAGCCTCAATCCCATCATCTACTCCATCATGTCCGAGAATTTCCGGCAGGCGTTGAAGAGGTGTATCGCGCGGTGTACAAGTTCACGGGAGAGGACGAAAGTGGTGCCCCGCCACTATCGATTGAAGCTGCTGCGATCCAAAAGATCGTTTCATGTTTGAAAATCCAATTGAAGGTAAAAACGATACGATCTTAGGTATAATACTACACTGAAATTGCTACATTGTATTTGACATCGAAAAATTCCTTGACAATCAAAATGTGTAATCAATTAAATTGACACTAATGTTTTTGAAAATCTGATCGAAACTGAAATTAACGTTTGAGTTTCAAACAATCTACCGTCTTTTTATGTAATGTAAAACTTATCTTATTGAAACATATTCGAAAGATTAGTTACCGTTTAGTTACAGACAAGCTAATACCAGTCGAAAAAAATAATGTTGATATCTGTATCATATTGGTATTCACATTATATTAGACCTTTCATTGCTGCATAATTCAAACAGCCCTGAAATTTACACTTTTCGCTATTTTGTTCACGAGAGGGAAAGTCCGTCAAGTTAAATTTCGAGAGCTTACCAGTAGACCATATAATTTGTTTTGCGAATTTGTTAAATGTTAAAGGGGAAAAATACAATTTCCCCCTTAACAAACCATTATTGTTTAAAAAATATAGTAATGAAAAGTTCTGTTAAAGTAAACATCTTTCCCTGTTTAAAGATAATTGTCTAATAATCAATTTTTTGAATAATTTTTCCTCTTTGGTTTTTTGCTTTTATTCATATTAACTTTAGATTATCATTTTATTTCATTTCAGATCATTACTTAACTTTTTACCTTGCAACTAAACTTGAACTATTTATGGGTATTCGTTGGTAGATTTATCGAGTTTTTACGCTTTCCGTTTGAAAAAAAACAAACCTGAAAAAAGCAGCATTTCTGTCTGAAGAGTGCAGCGATTTCTTTTCACCTAATACAGTGACAAATGTCATATTTTTCTTAACATGTCAAAAAGTCATTGTTTACATTTCGTTTTGGCTAAAAGTACCCAAATGTTCCAATTCTGTTTTTAAAAAGCTCTCAAACATACTTGTGTGCGTATTGTGTGGGCAATATCTTAGTCGTTCGATGTGAGTAAATTTGTCATGACTTTGTTTTAATTGAATCGCAGAAAATGCCAAAATGCTGTTTACATAAGCTTTTACTTGAGTTGCCGTTTTATTAAGCGGTACAAACGTATTGTAATTAAAGGTTCTATCGATTTAATGTCATAAAACTGAGAAGAAAAAAATATCTGTGGTGGGGAGAATTTTTCACGGATTTGACCAGCTATAAAAACATGTCAGGTTTATAAGGTCCTTGAACGTGTAGTTGATGGCTTAACGTCCAAACGGTCCGGAGGACGTGAACCTTGTTGATAACAACCTATGGCCATTCATATGGCCATAACAACCTATGGCCATTCATATGGCCATAACAACCTATGGCCATTCAAATCAACTTATGTTTCATCAGTCTGAGTAGGCCTATAGGCCTATATGACTATTTATAGATATATAAGGCGACCGCTCCATAGACATGTGTACAAAATTTAAAAAAAACTTTAATGTGACCTTACCCAATTTTACCTTATCCGACCCAAACAAATTTTGGTATTTTTATGTTTTGGACCAAGAACAATCGATTAAGCCAATTTGCGACAAGAACATTCTTTGGCTCTTTTGCGTAGTATAACGACCGGCAAAATGTCGCCGTCTCACGGTGGTCGCCCTAATGCCACAAAAGTAAGCACAACCGGTCGTCGTATATAGGTCTTGAAAGTATAGGCCTACGTGGTTTTCTCATCCAAGACTGCTCAGTTTCCCTGTTGACACCGTGAGGCATATTTTATCAATGCACAATCAACATGCATGAATGACAGCAGATGGAAGAAATATAACCGTAGATATCGTCGCCCGAGGTAAACATGACACCACAAAAAATATTGGTTATTCGCTACACAATACAGGTGTTTTTCTTTGTGTGGGTCTTCGATGCGAGAAGCTAGCATAAATAAACAAGTTTCTCATCCGCGAAATATTTTCAGCTTTCATCAAGCCTGCCCACCTGCTTTGTCACCGCACACGCTTCTCATCGCTCCCAAACTCGCCTAAAGCAATTTTCAATATTTTCGATTCTCGCTCGACCGAGTGGAGAAAAACAAACACTGTAAGCCTCTGCTGTCAGGCGCAAGCAACTGTATTCCGTAGCATTGCTGGCAGACCGAAGAAGTCTCATTTATGGCGAGAAAGATGTTATCTTTGATGCGTTGGGCGTCATGGAATTAGATTTTCAATACTGTTATTGCATTAGCAGATGACCACTTCTCAGTTTGAAAATGACCAGTGAGATATACGTTCACCGTTATTACCAAAAGAGCAATTTGCTACTTTTAGTCACATGATATGCTATCATGGACATTGGTGATTCGCACGTGTTTCTTTAAAGTGCAGGAAAAATATTGTATAATCTTTAATCAGTGAGATGATTGATATCACTCATTAAAAATCCTTGATGTTTTTGCCAAAGTCAGCTGGAGCAGGTTCGTAGGCGTGACCGTGACTTGATTAACATTCTTAACTCGCCTGTTATGTCAGTCGCATTATAAAACACATGTTCGGTCAAAGTGTGGTCAGAGCTTAATGGTGGCTGACAGCTGTGACTGACGGCAAAGGTCAAAGATAAGACGCCCGTCAAGTACGCAGTCAGGGTCTTAACTCGAGGCTAGTTCCTATAAAAACATCCCTCGTCGCATTTTCTCTGTCCGTTTTGTTTTTCTCCTGTGGCTTTTTATTAGAGATGACTTTCGCCTGACTGCCCTAAATGCGGTTTGCTTGACGGCTGTTAAGCGTTTTTGCTCCTGTTGGACTTGACCGCGCTCCGTTGATCATAAACTTTGTTATTTGAACAATTGCTGCAGCCCAGCGGCTCGAACTAAGTGAATTACGTGTACAAGTACACTACTACAGGGGCAAGTGTCATATTAAGATGGGCAGCATCGCATGGTTTTAACTTTGGTAAAAAAATTAAAAATATGGCCATGTTTTGTGTTGTGATACATGCATTATTTATTGCAACCGTTTTGGGCCACGCCCTGTAAAAGTGCTTGACATTTGCACTGTGTAGTTGTGACCGGGACTGTTCACTTCATGAATAATGTCCATGCCAAGTTTCATTGACACGCTAGGCAGAAAATGTATATTCCATGCTGAACTGGTGTTAGCTGAACACCATTCATAGGGTATACATTGTACGACTTTTTTTCAAAACTGGTAACCTGTTTTGGCTAAGCGAATGTATTCTGAGCTTAGCAATTTGTTATGTAGACCAGTACCATTAAATCGATGGCCAATGTCCGTATCAGTTGAGCTCAGTACGTGTTACACTGTCTTAACCCGTCTGAAATCTCAGCTGGGGGATAGTTTAAAAGTGGAATTTTTGTGTGTGTGACACGCTTCATGGTTTCTTCATTACATTGCCATCAATCCAAACGCAATAACTTTACAGGCACCATCATTTGGTACCAGCGCAATCATTACACACACGTTTTCAAATTTGCAGTAAAAATGTGAGTTTCAGGTTGCTAAAAATGTTGCTGATTTTGGTTCATGTCACGTGCGAGGGTCTGGACATGATTTCCTGGTGTGGGTGTTAAGCATACATATAGCACGACACTTTAAATTTAACAGCCGATGTAATGGATTTTTTTTTAATGTAATACTTTTTATTGCACCTTTATGACCCATTCATCTTTTACTTTCAATCTTTACCATGTCATTTTCAAGTGTGTTTTAATGCTTCTTTGGTTTTGCTGCTCATTCAAATGTCTATATTTTGAGCAAAACTGTGATGTCATTTTAGGCAGAAACCTCAGTGTTCCTGCATCAAAAGTCGAAAGATTTTTATTGGGGGGGGGGCGGGGATTGGAATCGTGGGTGTATTTTTTCACATTTTTTTGCTCTGTACAATGTACAATGTAACACACATTGTTGTATCAGTACATGAAAGTAAGTCTATGAACACAAATTATGATAACCACAAATTCGGGTTCCCAATTTGAACAGAAAACCCCTCAAATAAAGAGTGTGTTCCTATAGTGACATCACAGCAGCAGTGCCCTCAATTGTCAGAAAAGGCATGAAATAATTATGTTAATGTTAAAAAAAGTGGAGTTACAAAACTTTTAACCAAAAAGAGATGTCACATTGCTTTCATACATTTGGGAGGAATGCATATTAACACAAAATAAAATTTCTGGTGTAAAATTCCTGTTATGGCCCTTTTATTGTAACCAATTTTTGAGAAGCTAATTTCTGTGCTCCAAGCAGCCCCATTAGCCTTTTGAAGTATGGCGGATAACACAATAGTAGACAGCTATTTTAGTTGGTAAACTCTTTTCTACTCACATTCACCCGTTTCCATCAACGCTCTACTATTGTGTCCTTCCATACTTAAAAAATGCTAATGAAATTGGTTCCAGAATGTTCAGTGGTAGGTGTTGATTCTAGACCAGTTTATTTATTTTTTATTCATCTATCGCGTTTGTGATCCAGCAGTCCGCTGTAAATGTAGTTACTGTGGAACTCAACCCCGAAGTGTGCTGGGTAATCCCGAAGTAAATTGAACCGTTCACAACTCAGTAGTTTACAAGTTAAAGTGAACCTGTGATCGGATTATTTTTGCAATCGCACGCCTGTATTATCTTCCCTAATAGCTTCACCTTGAATAATTTCACCCTCGAGGTTAGAAATTGCCCTGTCGATTTGTACAGGAAGTTGGTATATCAACGGACGCACGTTGGGCGTCCGTTTGGAATTCACACCGGCTCCCATTTATGCAGATGTAAAATAAAAACCCATGTGTTTTATAGCTCCATGATAGGACAGACTGCTGGCTAGTCAGTTGCAAATGTATGCTAAATCAATTTTTAACCTATAGTCATGTGCATGTTTACCAATGTGGTTAACTTCTTCAGTATATTTGGATATTTGGGATGAATGCAATCACGCACGTCACATGCCGCATGCATTCAAGGCCCGTATACCAAAATGGTATCGTGTTTCGGGATGCAGGGCGAGTTTCTCTTAACGTATCAATCACAGCAGACAAGTTCATTGCAATGGCACATGAAGTATTCATCTCTCAAACCTGTCACATTCACGAAATAACAGCCGAGTGACATGTTTTGACCAACGTTTTTAAGCTCTGGCAGCGGAGCTTCTACATGTCACGTCGTGGTCGGTCTGCCCCCATAAGTTTCCCATAAAATATAACTACCAAATTTTAATTTTCAAAAAACAAACAAACAAAATAACTAAATATTTAACAAAAATTGTTTGTAACAATTCGTAAAGTTGTTTATCAAAATTGTGTAAACGGAGGCAAAATATGTGCAGAAATGTTATAGTCACGTGGTATAATACCACGCTATAGCACAACGCATTCAATTCCGTACTATGGTCCACACTTACAAATCTCTCAACTCCTCTGCCCCTGATTACCTCTCTTCTCTCCTCTCAATTCGAACCGGGTCTCACTCCCTTCGCTCTTCTCATGGGAAATCTCTTGTTGTCCAGAGGACAAATAAACTCGCAGGTGATCGGGCCTTCTCTATTGCTGCTCCCCGATTGTGGAATAGTCTACCCATCCCTATCAGAAACTCCGATACTGTGCCAACCTTCAAGAAGGCTCTCAAAACCCATTCCCCCCCCCCCCCCACACCATAGCTGGTCGTACGCCCTTGTTGTTTTTCTGTTGTTCTTTCTGTAGTTCTTCTTTCTTTGTTTCAGCGCCTTGTATCCTTTGGCAATTTGGCGCTCTATAAATCCAGTTATTATTATTATTATTATTATTATTATATATTATGGGAAACTTAGGGGGTTTATTTTCGTCAATTTTCGGGGAGAAGCGCTGCGTGATTTTCGTGTGGGACGGCGGCCCGGGCTTGTACGCACAATCTCCGGTCAACGTTAGTCCGAAAATTTGGGACTCTCAATACTGTGTAAAAAAGATGAGAGTCCCAAAACATAAGGTATTGAAAACATGCAAAACAAGAAAATAGACTGGCACCTAAAACAACCAGTCCAAGGCAGCTTCAGTACTGCATCAATCAACCATGCCAAAAGAATTTAAGA